GGATATAAATAGAAAAATGTTAATCATAAACTCTTGAGTCTAAAGCATACTGGTCAAACAGATAATCTGCCAACATTTCTCTGATTCAGGACAGAAAAACAAGATCATAAGAAGAAGCAAGAAGAAAAAGAAAGAGAAAAAAAATACATTTACAAGCAACATCTCAATAAACTATCCAAACACCTACTGAATAAAAACGAGAGGTGGCATAAAAGCAGTAGAAGAAGGTTATATAAAAATAAAAAATAAAATTAGGCCTAACAAAAAATGAAATAAAAAAATACAATATTGTCTTATTGTGTTAGAGACTCAAGACTTTTTGAGCTATGCGTTCATACATAGTAATATTACTTGTGGAGAAGTATGTAGGTAAACACTGAATTTATATTTATTATTTACACTGTGCAAAATTAATTTTTTATTTATTAATTTATTTTGTTTCTAGTTTAATTAACAAGAAACTGTTTTTCTAATATTTTTTTCAAATCTACTGTTTTCATCTGCTATAGTTGTAAATCTATGACTTCCTGTCCTACAGTATCCTATAACAATACCCCCCTTATCCCTGTTAAACAAATCCGATACCTAGTTCTCCACCTAGACAAACGACTCACTTGGAACAGCCATACCAGAATGAAACGACTAGAAATCGTCCGACGTTTCCGACTACTCCAGCACTTACCAGACAAACGCGCTAAATTGCCAACTATTTACAAAAGACTCATATGTATTACTATAATAAGGCCTATTTGGACTTGTGAGATCGAGCTTTGGGGCTCTACTAAACCATCAAATTCCTCTCGTATCTAATCCCTACAATCCATAACGACCTTAATGTACCATATGTTTCCGATTTAGCTCAATCCAGATAACTGTCCTTTCATAATAAACTTCTGAACCATCCAAACCCTCTTGTTTCTAGCCTTGCTTGCTTTTCTATTCCTGATAACCCTCCGAGGCGTCTGAAAAGAAGATGGCTTCGGGACCTTCTAATATAGAAATATAATTGGAGTGCTACGAATGGGTAGTTTCTCTTCATGTTGTACATGTCCATTAGTATTACTCCTTGGTACAGATCCCTTGTTATCAAATTATTAACATCCACCTAAAACTTCGTAAACAGCTTCATCTCATCGTAACTCACAATTTTTTTTATTTAAGATAATTTTGAGAGATAGGGCGTTTTGAATTTGAAAATCGGTGAATTTTTTCTACTAAATGAGGTACTAGAAACTCTTGAAACTACTTGAATCATGATGTAATTAGATCATAAATTCGAGAAAAAGGTGGTCAAAATAACGAGGTTATGTAGCTCAAACGACTCAATATTTTTTAGGTCACCTTTTTTCCCGATTTTGAGCTAAATTATCATACGATTAAAATATAAAGCAAGAGGACATTGAATATGATTTTATTTTGGCCAGATGTAATGTATTAATTTTGTTCTATTTTGTTATTCTCAAGGGACTGTGTCCCAGAATAAAGTTATTTTTCTATTTCTATTTCAATATGAGAACTGTCCTCGTGCACAGCTTTTTGTATGCGTATGACATTGTGCTCATCACCGATTCCAAGAGGAAACTACAGCAAGCACTGGTAGAATGGGAAGAAGAGCTGCTGAGGAAAGGTGTGCAAATAAATGCCTCCAAAAGTAAAGTGATGATTATGGCGAGAGAAGAAGAGGAAGACGTCCAATTGGTTTGCAACGGAGAAATTCTTGAGGTGGTAAAGGAGTACACATACTTAGGTACCATAATTGCTAACGCTGGTAAGATAGATGCTGAGATTTCGTATAGAATATCTAAAGCGACTCAAGTATATCACCAGGTCGCTAGCAGTATCCTCAACTGCCGTGAAGTGGATAAAAATACCAAGATGCACGTCTATAAGTCTGTATACCTTCCTATTCTCGTCTACGGCGGAGAAAGTTGGACTATGTTGGACAAACATTATAGTCGCATAACAGTAGCGGAAATGCGATTCCTACGTAGATCGGTGGGCAAAACTAGGAGGGATCGCATCAGAAATGAAACTATCAGAGAACAGCTGGAAGTGCCTGAACTCAAAACCACCTTGGAGAACAGGCAATTAAGGTGGTTTGGACATGTCTGCCGCATGAACGAGGACATGGACCCTATAAAGATATTAGAGGCTCGATCCACAGGGAAGAGGCCACGAGGGCGTCCCAGAGTCTCATATCAGGAGTTCATGGAGAGGATTGGAGGTAGAAGAGGCAAATCCTTCAACCAAATGAAGCGGTTAAGCAGAGACCGGGAAGAGTGGCTGCGCTGGATAGAGGCTCCTCGACACTAGAAACGGCAAAGAAGAAGAAGAGGACATTTAAGAGTTTGTAGTACTTAATTAATTGATTTAATTAGAAAACGCTCCACTTCTGAGAACTTTCTTAGGCAAAAAAGTTTGAAGTTACAATAAGACGGAGCATGATAATTCACAAAATTTTAGATGGATTTTAATAATATAATAAAAACGGGACTGCATCGCAGGCTATACAGGCAATATGGCATATTGCTTATAAATGTATTTTTTTTCCGTTTTTTATGTACGCAATCTCGTTTTGTCTGTTCTGATGTTGCCTGAATTGTATCAAATGTCCTTTATTAATTTCATGAAATCCCATATAATATATTTTTGTTTTTTATTCAATTTATTTATACAGTATTACAACAACCGGTCACTTGGACATTGGATATAGTGAGATAGAATAACATCCACATTATTAAAAAAAAATCAAATTAATAGAAGAAAAATAACAGTAAATAATAATCAAAAATTATATACAATAAATAAAATAAAATAACTTAAAAATAAGGAAATTAAAACAAAGCAAAAAACACATACATACCTATATACATTATTTACAATCAGGCTAGAGAACTCCGAGGTAAACTTGTTCCTCCAACAATTAAAATGACCGTTGTTAATTATTAAGAGTTTAATGGCTGTGGAATGTGGAGGGTTGTGAATTTATAGGGTAGAATTTGAAAAAAATAAAATAAATATTGCAAAAACCTATGATATCAATAATAACTATTTTCTGAGAAATACGATTATATTTCAAATCAGTCATTTATTAGACATTTTACTAAAAAAAAACGGGGATTAATAATATAAAATACAAATTTCTTTTTTTGTTTTATATTCACAAAGTAACAACATTTACAATATATACAAATATAGTTGTGTATAAAATATTTGTAGTTCTATATTCACAAACAAATAATAGTTAAAATATTTACAATTATCATAGTTTATAAATTAGGTGCTTCATTTGTTACCCATAACTCCACACATAAAATAAAGCTACATAAACTAAGCATCTTATACACAGCGAAACTTCACGCAATAGCCTCAGCCCTCCACTTCTGTATGTCAATAACTCCAGCCTCAATAGTCTTGATAACCGACCCTTGAGTTCATTAAAAGGTTTAAGCGATATGTACTCAAAACATCCAGTTATTCTGAAAATATAAAATATCTTTACATTCCTGAAAATTTGGTAAAATCTGTTTTTTTTTGTTTTTTTTTTAAATGGGTTCCCAGTCACGTGGTTACAGTTGGTAATGAGCTTGTGGATACGGCAGCCAAACCGGCACTCGCGCTCCCAGACCGAGGTACTCCTATTCTGAACTCTCCAGAAATGAATTTTCCTCTCCAAAAGGAAATATTGAATACTTGGTAATCTATGTGGAACGAAAGCCCACCTAGCAAATTGAAAGTTGTTAAAAAATCAGTAAAGCCCTGGATCACATCAAACTGCCCTAATCGTAGAGAGGAAGTCGCCGTGACCAGGTTAAGAATAGGACACACGAACCTAACTCATGTTCATCTCATCACTAAGCAGCCACCACCAAAGTGTCAGCATTGCAATAGCCCTCTCACAATCAATCACATTTTCCAAGAATGCACTTATAATACTTCAAGCCTAAATATATTATCTCTAAAACCGATATATCAGCAGTATTAAGCAATAACGAATCAAACATAAAAACAGTAATAAATTTTCTTAAAATCCATCGGCTATTAAATAAAATATAAAAATAAATATAATTTTTATTTTATTGTACTGTTTTTTGTTATTTTTAGCTTAATATATTCCTTTTTTTATATGTTTTAAATATCTTTTTCATTTATTATTCCATCAATCTATTATTAATTTTGTTTTCTCTTAAGAGTTTACAAATATGGCCGACTCACAGGCCGTAAGTCTTAAAGCCCAAACAAACGTTTATATCACGCTATAAAAATGAAACAATAGGTTTATGGTAAATGTTTGTTGCAAATTGGTTTCTTAATTCTCCATGATATTTAAATTTTGAGATATTTTAGTGCAAATGTTAAAAATAGCCGTTATTATTTGGGGTTTTTTTTGGAAATATATTTTTCATTTTCCGAAACTCGGCGTCACGTCAAAATATAATTACGAATTATATTAACTCATTCCAAAGAGAATGAAATGTTAAAACATTTCCTTGCAGATAGCCTAAAGGTCCGAAGTTTAGTTTTTGAGATATTTTAAACCAAATGTTCAAAAAACGTCTTCATCACTTGATTTTAGACATTATCTAATTCCCTTTTCACCTCTCTAACACAGCATCGCTTCAAGATAAAAATTTTAATAATAGCTCATTACAAAGAAGATGAAATGCTAAACATTTCTCTTGCTTAGAGTATCCAGGTCCGATTTTTAGTTTCTGAGATATTTTAATCCAAACGCAAAAAATAGTCGACTCAAGCAGACTTAACCGAATGAGCATTACATAACCATGACGGCTCAGGCTCATTCAATGCTCATAAAATAAAGTGTCATGCGCGCCTAAAGAAGTTTCCAGTTAAAAAAAAAACAATCGTTGACTGCAACACTGAGGAATTCTCTGTCCTTGTAGAATTTTAAGATTAAGAGAGTACTTACAGTAAATTAAAAATAATCCAATAAGTGAATTAATATAAAGTCATCGTACTGCAAGCATATCAATTTTTTTTCACTGCCAAGTTGGAATTAGTCGAAAAGATGACGCACGTTTCGACTGTTGCACGAAAACTCTAGAAGCTTCTGGATTGCAATTTTCCGCGAAGTAACAAGCTGGGTAATTATAACGATGGAAGTTAAGAATTGGCTAGTCGTCCTTCGGAACTGACGAGCTAATTTGGGATTATTTTTAAAATGAAGATTTTACAGAAATAAAATAAAATTGTGAACAGTTTTACTGAAAGGATGCACGCAAGGGTTGAACATCGAACACGAAACACGCTTTGGCCAAAATAAAAAATCAAGAATTGCTTAATGTTCGTGACTCATAGTATAATTTTATCTGACTTCCTTGTTCTATAGAATAAATAAAGTAAAGATTTTTACTATAACTGCAGACCAGCGTTTTGACACTATCTGAACTTGCACGACCTCTAAGAGAAACCATATCCCAAGAATGGCAAAGACGGTGGGACAACAGCGCACATAGCAAATTAAAGAAAATAAAGAAAGAGGTGCAACCGTGGACCAGCTCCAGACGCAGCAGTCGTAGAGAAGAGGTCGTCCTCACGCGGCTGAGGATCGGACATACTAGACTGACACACCTCCACCTCATAACAAAACATCTTATCCCCAGATGTCAAAAGTGTAACCAATCACTAACTATAAAACATATTTTGGAAGAGTGTGTCTGGGGGGGACTCAGGATTGAGGTTTATGTGCGCGGATGTAAACATGTTGAGTGCAGGCGCCCGTGGGGTTTTGGATTGTTAGGAAACGGTTCCATATGTGTGATTGGGAATTGTGAAGGGGGTGTGGTGTTGGTGGTGGGGGGGTGGGGTTGTGGTATGGGGGGGTGGTTGGGATGGATGGGTGGGTGTGGTGGGGCTGGGGGGGGGCCTTGGGCGTGGGTGGGTGAGGTGGAGTAGAGGTGCTGGGTGTTGGGGAGGGGTGGTGATGGGGTGGGTGGGGTGGGGGTGGGCTGATTGAAGGTGTGGGGTGGGGTGGGGGGGGGTAATGAATACGGTGATGCTGCTTTGTATGGTGTAGGGTGGGGTGAGGGCGCGGTGGTACCGGGTGGAGGGGCGACATGTGTATGCGTTTTAGTAGTTTATCTTTAATGAGGGGATAATGTGGGGGGGTTTGGGAGTGGGGGGGATTATGTGGGGATGGGGGGGGAGGGTAGTTAGATTTGATTAATCCAGGAGAGCAAATATATATTGGGTTGGAAAATAAGTCCTTCTAGTTTTTCAGATTGAAATAAAACTCAATGTATTATAGACATAAAATTTATTTTAATGTGGCTTTAGTGCTCTCTCTTAGTCTCCACTTGATTCCCATCCTATTGATGCGGCTGAGAGAGAATCTCTTGGAGTTTTAAAATCTCTCGGGGAAAAGGCCCGACTCGGAGTTCCCTCGGCTGACTGTAAATAAGTATGAATCTGTTTTTATTTATTATTATTTTTATTTAATGTCTCATGTTTGATTTATTCTGTTATTCCAAGTTTTCTTTTCTTTTCTTTTGTTATAATCTTGTTTTTCTTTTATTGTATATATGGTATGATTTTGTTTCATTCATCCTAAATACACAAAGCCCTTAATTGAGGCAAAATGTCCTTTTTTTCTCTAAATCTACAATATACTGACCATTATTTAATATGACTTTTTTCCCATCTTTCTACTAACTGCATAATGCTATGTTAATACAATGTCTGGAATTAATTGTTAAAAAACTGATCCAAGTAGTTTTTGATGTCCTCTCCCTTTTGGAATTTCTTTCCATTCATGGTGTCCAACAGAGACTGGAATAAGTGATAGTCACTTGGGGCTTGGTCTGGTGAATATGAAGGGGGGAAAAAGGTCCCATCCAAGGTTCAATAATTTATTTAGAGTAACCAATGAGGTGTGGAGCCTAGCTTTGGTGGAACACAACACCCTTCCGATCATTCATTACTCTTCAGGATGTTCTCCAAATTCGATGTTACTATATCCCTTGGAAAGCTGAATTATCGCTTTTCAAAGCCTTATGGATGTTTTGTTTTATTTAATGCCTACATAAAGAATAAACAAACAAAAACTCCTTATAGGTTTTTATTTTTTATCTCCATTTGTAGTTTGTTTACAAAGGTCATGTTGTAGTCATTTTTATAGTTATGTAGCCCTAAATTCCTGCTAAATTTCTTGTGGATAGGTAAAGTCATATTAAAGTTATACGTTTTTTTGTGGTATTCGAAAAAAAATCATGTGAGGGACCCAAACATGAAGCCTAGAAATATAGGTTGTGGAAATGATTTTCTACGCTTGTGTGTGACATAGTAGGACCATAACAATCTTTCGCACTGAGTGGGTGGGATTTTGACAACAACAAACAACGGCCTTAACATTGCTCGTTTCAATTTCATTTATTTTTTTAAACCAATTTTAACCGGAAATTTTTCTATGAGCTTCTGCAGCACGCTTAACTTTTTTAAAACAATAAAACAAAATATGCCGATAATCAATGATCTTTTCTTCCATTTTCACAGTGTAATAGCAAACACAATACTAAACTAGTTTCTACAACAGTTACCAGATATAGTTGTTGACATATTACAAACAGGATAAACATTCCAGCTTAGTGATTAATTCATCAAATAAGAAGTATGTCGTAGTTGCATATAAATAAACAGAAAAAAATGACGGACTTATTTGCCAAACCAGTACAAAAATAAATTTTAATTAAAAAGAAACCGACTAGAGAAAATTGAAAATTATATCCACCCTAAGGGAATCAAATGTACTTCTATATCTGCAGACAAATTTTGGTAGATTGAAACGGACTTAATTTCCCTTTTGCCAGGAAATCGAAATTTTATTGGTAGAAGATGCAGGCTTATTCAGATGTAGTGAAAAAAAATAAGTATATAAGATCGATATCTAGCTGGTGAAATATAGTGTTAGGCCTCGGGGTATAAGTTAAAAATGTCTACTTTTCAAAAGAGGCTCTTGAAGATTTCAAATTTCGACTATTTTATTCTTAAAATTTAAATTAGTATTAAAATTATATGGTGTGTCCCCTCAATGACGTTCTATTTTAAGCATATATATATATATATATATATATATATATATATATTGTCTATCTAACACTATATACATTATTGCCTCTACCATAAAGGGTCATTGGTATATTAAATTTAAACTGTTACTAATTTGTCAATTAAAAAAAAGTAAACAGGTTTCCGTGGAAACACCCGCAAAATTCATCTAAAATATGGAGGCCAATGCATAATGTAAAAAAAAAAAAGGAAAAACTCCTATATTTGCTGATTCTCTAGTTTTTTTTTCTAAAAATGGTTGTGAAAAAAGGTATATAAAAATATTTAAACTCAAGTACTTACAAAAAGTAAGGTAAATATTGCGAAAATGATAAATGTGTTTAGAAAAAAAAAAAAGAAAAAGAACTGACAGATACACACAACAGTTAAAGATTAATTTTTTATGTAAGTAAATTCAATAGTTTTCTGCTTTTATTTGTTGTTTTATTGCCCACTTGGACTATTTTAAAAAATAGTGTAAGATTATTTATAAAAATATTTTATTATTTATTAACATAAAATTGGACATAAAAAATTAAATTTGCGATCTGCAAATTTCTTTGCAATGAGCAAATTTTTTGGCAGCTTCACAGCGTTCCATTACAATCCAGGAAATAGTTCAGTTCAGCAGGTCTCTTGGCCACCGCCTATGTAATCGTCGAGGTGGGCTGTACGGGTTTCTGGTGCTTTTAAGGTTTTCTGTCAGAGGATTTGTGTTGTAAGTTAGTCTTTGGTGAAAGTTGTTGTAGTTTTTTTTTTTTGCAGTGTCTGAAATTGTTGGGATGTTCAAGTCTTTATGTAATCTGTCGTCTGCGACATAAAATGGTGCGTCAACTATTCTTCGTAAAATTTTGGATTGGAAAGACTGGATTTTTTTAATATTAGAAGTTTTAGCAGAACCCCACAGTTTAGTATTTTATATAAAAATATAAACTAATGTTAAAAAAAAAAAATATTTTAAATAAAAATCAGGAATTTACAATGGTTATGAGGCCTAGGTAAACTAAGCTATCTAGTAGTAAGGTTAGTCTCCCCTCCACTTTTACCTCTCCCCTCCACTTCTCGTGATTGAAGCTTTGATTTCAGGATTTTTGGAAGTCCGTCAGTCCTGTCCATCAGTACATCAATCATAACCTTACACAGCCAATAAGAATGTCAATAGTGCCTCGGAATGTCATTCCGAGTGACCGTGTATGGTCCGCTTATGAAACAACAAAGAAGCTACAAAATTGGTCCACTCGTTAAAAAAATAAGAGTGGCAGAGACTGATGTACACACCAATTGTTGAAAAATTGTTTTTTTAGACTCAGAGGAATGCTTTTTTCACATCGTGATATGTATTCGCATAGGAGCATTAGGTAAGGAAAAATTGAATTTTTTTTTTTTAACTTGTTTATTGAAAATATTACAATCTGTCTCTAAGGGCATTTATAATAGGAGATCACATTCACACTCTATGTACAATAAAAAAAAATAAATTATACAGAAAAATAATATATATACAATAAATAAGTATAATTTAACGCAGAAATAAATAAATAAAGAAGAACACATACATACCTATATACCTACATATCATGGGTGATAAATATTCAGGACGCAGTCTTTTTTATAATTTTTTTTATTTTTGCCAACGTTTCAACCCAAACATGTGGGTCATCTTCAGGGCGTGGTTTGAGTACTGAGGTTGTTCATGTACTCCACGAGGTGAATACTTGAACACGCTCAGTGCTCAAACCACGCCCTGAAGATGACCCACATGTTTGGGTTGAAACGTTGGCAAAAATAAAAAAAATTTAAAAAAGACTGCGTCCTGAATATTTATCACCCATGATATGTAGAATAGTCGACTAACTTCCTTCAAGTATATACTAACATATATATACTAATATAAACGTTTAATATTTTTTCAAGTTTTTGAAGTAATTATTAATACCTAAAAAGCTAGAAATACACCGTTTATATTCTTAAAATATTTGTTTACAGTCAATAATGGTTTTTATCTGACATTTGATGTCGTTGTTTGATGAAGATTACTGTAAGTCGTTACTAAAATTTATAAAAAATAAACAAATCTCAAAATTTCAAACTAAATTCCTAAAGTTTTATCGAACTCAATGGTTTTGAAAAATAAAGAGGTTTTTGGAAATTGAAGACTTATTTTTTAGGATTCAAGGCAATGTTTAAAATGAAGTGAGCTCAGGAAATTTAAAAAATGTTACATGTGTGAATGAAATATTCATAAACATTTAAAAAAATTGCCTGGGCCATATGTTTCAGATTTGTTGCAAAAAGCATACAGCTAGATGCTATACCTAATCGGTTTCCTTTCTCAGTCTCCACTGAATCACCATCTCAGTGATGCGGCTGAGAGAGAAGCGCTGGGATCTCTTGGAATCTTGCCTTATCTTCCACACGTGGGCCCGACTTGGAGCTCTCCTCAGCTGACTGTAAATATTGTAAATAAGCATGAATGTTTTTTTTTCTTATTTATTCATTTTTTTTATTTTGTGTTGTATCATATTTTATTTCATCTGTTTTATTAAGCTTTCTTTTTCACATTTTTGTTATAATTTCTATTTTCTTTTTTTTTTTTGTAATTGTATATATTGTATGAATGAGTTTCTCACATCTCAAATACTCAATGCCCTTGATTGAGGCAAAATATATTTTTTCTCGATAAAAAAATGCGGGTAAAGAATCTTCAAGGAGGATATAGAAATATACCATTTGTTTCTTAAAATATTTGTATAAAATAAATAATTTTTTTCTCTGGCATGGTTTGATGAAGATGACCATAAGTCATTACTAGAATTTATAAAAAATAAATAAAATTTCAAACTAACTTCTTAAAGTCTTATCGAAAATGGCTCAGTTGTTTTCGGTAATTGGATTTAGTAAAAATAATGGAGTTTTCGGTAATTTAAGTCTTTTTTTTTTAAGACTCGAGGCAATGTTTAACATCGTGTGAGCTCAGGAAAATTAAAAAAAGTTATTTGGGCGAATAAAGTATTC